CCTGGACGTCCGGCGCGCAGCCAGCCGAGCGCACAATGTCGCGGCGCGGGGCTGCGTCCCCCTCGTGGAGCGAGGGACTCAGACGGATGGTGAGGGGCCTGAAGGCGCGGGGTGGGAGCCCCAGGCTGCCACCGACGTCCCCAGGGTGGGAAACTTCAAATACGGAGGGAGGCCTGGGCCCTGACCCCGCTGGTCCCAGCAGTGGACAGGCCCCTAATGTCATGGTCCCTCTCCTGGCGCTTCCACACACTGTTTGGGTGAAGGTGAACTAGGTTTCTGTCCCCAGGGGTGCTGGCTGGGATAATTTTGGGTCAAAAGTGTTCGAATTCGTTTAATTTGTTGCTACACTTCCCACCCACCCACGTGCCCCTTTACCCCCTTGCTCAGGACTGGGAATCAGCCCTTGTAAGGGACAGATTTGGGAGTTTGCAGGCCCCAGGCCCAGCCCCTCCTCTCCAGGCCCACTTGGTCCTTGCTTGGTTCCCCAATCTCCTCCCCCAAGGGAGCCACAATTCCAGTGAAGCAGCCTCTGTGAGCCGGGCACTGTGCTAAGCTTTCACCTCTACTACTCACAACCTCAGCAAGGTACTGGCTAAGAGCAGCTGGCACACTGTACAATTCTTACAGCCCTCGTGGCCCTTCCTGTCGAGGAATCCAGGCCTGTGGCCCCAGAGGGGTAACCTGTGGGCCTAAGGGCCCAGGGCAGCAGGCTCTTACATGAGCACCAAGTGCCTTCTGTGGCCAGGAGCCCCTCGGGGCAGCGTGGGGAAGAAGGAAGTGCTCTGTGCAGGGTGGTCCAGCTGGGTTACTGAAGGCTCTGCCACTGCCCTGCTGGAAGCCAGAGCTAGTTGTCCCCTCTGTGGGCTAGCTGCCCTCCTCACATGTGGGGGCCAAGGCCACTGTCTGTGTTAACATCGAGTTCTCAGATGTTAGCTTCAAGACAAGTGTTGACTCGCCTGTTCTCAGATGTTAGCTTCAGNCCCCTCTGTGGGCTAGCTGCCCTCCTCACATGTGGGGGCCAAGGCCACTGTCTGTGTTAACATCGAGTTCTCAGATGTTAGCTTCAAGACAAGTGTTGACGCGCTTATTCTGGGTGCCCAGGATGCTCCCAGAAGGCCAGACCCACTAGGGACAGTCTGGTCAGGACCTTATGCTGATGACCTAACTTTGCATGCCCTTAGACTCTTCTCACTCTCCTAGATAATCCTCAAGATTTTCCCGTGGTTGCCAAGCCTGGTTAGGGAAGCCTTTGACTATGGACTGTTCTAACTGCGATCCTCAGCCAAGGCCAGAAAACCCTAGACCACCTTTGAAAACAACCCCTTAGTAATGCAGTCTCTGAGGTGCCTTGTCCCCCGTCATCCATGCCCACCCTGTGGTCAAACAGTTTCCCGCTTTCTTTGTCTGCTTTCTGCCCTCACCTTCGAGCAGCTTACATTGAGCTCTTTCTCTGGACATTGGCCCTTCGCAGTCTCCACAGTGTGGGAGTGGGGACCGCCAGAGAGGACAAGGGTAGACGCCCTTCTAACACCATGCAGAATGGGATCTGGGCTCTGAGAGGGAGAGGTGGCTTCCAGTTGGAGATCCTGAGAAAGGCTTTACGAGTTGATGGGTCCACTGGAGATGGATCTGGTTGATGGGAAGTGTCCTGACATGGAGGTGGGGGTGGGGGACTGCATGGAGGGGGAAGGGCTTCCACAATGCAGGGAAGTCACCAGATTTCCAGTGCTCATGGCTGGCTAGCTAGAGCTAGACTCGGCAGCATCAGCCGGGAACAGTGGGCTGTGACTGTGCGATAAAGGAGTCAGGCTTCAGGCTAGGAAAGTGCTCCAGCCAGAAGGCAGAGAGCATGAGAGATGTCCTAGCAAAGAACTATGACAGTGCCATTCTTCATTGTCCTTCTGGCCCAACCTGGTACTCCACCAGTGCCCTCCCCTGCTTCTTCAGACCACCCTTACTAAGGAACCCACACATATTTTCTCTACTGCCATAGAAAAACTCCCACTCCTCCCAAAGCCTGGCCCTCTGTGTTTCTTCCATTGCTCTCCTGGGGAACAGGGACCTGCTTTCTGTGCCCTTTTTGGCTCCTTGGTGTGAAATTAAATGCTTCTTTCATTCCTACCAGGACATTCTACCCCTGTGGGTCTACACCCATTTAATTAATTTAAACCAGTGGTTCTCAACCAGGGGCAATTCCCTCTCTCTCTCTCTCTCTCTCTCACACACACACACACACACTGACATTTACCAACATCTGTAGATATTTTTGGTTTCACAACTTGGAAGGAGCAGTAGTTGCCACTGGCATCTTGCGGGCAGAGGCCAGGGCTGTTGCTAAACTTCCTACAATGCTCAGGACAGCCCCACAACAAAGAACTATCTGGCCCAAATGTCAATAGGGCTGATTTAAACCAGGTTGAGTCCTGGCCGGTGTGGCTCAGTTGGTTGGGCGTTTTCCCATGCAGAGAGGTAGCCTGTTTGGTTCCCTTCAGGGCACATGCCCTGGTTGTGGGCTCAATCCCCACCCAGTAGGGGGCATGCAGGAAGCAGCTGATCAATGTTCCTCTCCCTCTCTCTCTAAAATCAATAAAAACATATATATTAAATAAAACAAAAACAGGGGAAGAAAACAGGTTGAAACCCTCAGTCAAAATCCCGTTGGTGCCTGAAAATCCAGTTTTGTGAAGATGAATGCCTTAGGAGGTGTGACCTGTCTGCCAAATCTGGACAAGGTCCCTGACTGGGTTCCAGTCTCTGATTCTGAAGTGAGCCCCCGGAGGGATCCATTGCTCTTGACTTCAGGGAATTACCACCTTCTTGTAGCCTCACCTGCTCTCTGAATTTCCTCACACCCAGGTTCAACCCAATTCAACCCAGTGTATTGATCTGAGCTTCCCTTCGATGCCCCCGAGCTGTGTGACTTTGGAAAGTCATTTAACTTTGAACCTCAGCTTCTCTGCAGAAAGAGAATCAGCAAGGTCTTTTAGGCTCGAGAATCTCCAAAATATTTCCCGTCATTTCACAATTCACGTCAGGCCTGACCTTGTGTGGAGATTCCTCCTCGCCAGGTCTACCCTAAACCCTCTCCCGGGGCCGGGGTCACCCCTGACTCAGNGACCTTGTGTGGAGATTCCTCCTCGCCAGGTCTACCCTAAACCCTCTCCCAGGGCCGGGGTCACCCCTGACTCGGGCTGCCGGGGGAATACTCACCACCTCGCGGTGCACTGACGGCCGAAGCAGAGTCTCCTCACGTGAACAGATTTCATGTTGGAGTCAAAATGTGAAGCTTAAGGCTGTCTTTTTAAAACGCTTTTTCTCTCCCACCCTAAAAGGAAAATCACACTGTTGACTTGGAGAAAGACTCATAGTCTCCCAACTGAGCCAACNTCAGGCCTGACCTTGTGTGGAGATTCCTCCTCGCCAGGTCTACCCTAAACCCTCTCCCAGGGCCGGGGTCACCCCTGACTCGGGCTGCCGGGGGAATACTCACCACCTCGCGGTGCACTGACGGCCGAAGCAGAGTCTCCTCACGTGAACAGATTTCATGTTGGAGTCAAAATGTGAAGCTTAAGGCTGTCTTTTTAAAATGTTTTTTCTCTCCCACCCTAAAAGGAAAATCACACTGTTGACTTGGACAAAGACTCATAATCTCCCAACTGAGCCAATGGTTTGGGGTTCGAAACGTAGTCTGCTGTGGCTGGCCTAATGAAACCGAGAAAAATGTGGTTTTCCAGACAGCCGTTTCATGGTTAGGGGAAATGCTTTTGCCAAATGCAAGGGTTCTTATCGAAGTTGGGGATCCCCAGCCCCTTCCCGCAGTGGGGGAAGGCAGGTTGGGGAAGAGGTGGAAGCTAGTCTCTGAAGGTAATCTGGGGGGAAAGCTGAGATGGTAAGAGGCCTTGGGCTTTCCATGGACCCCCAAGTCTTCAAGAAAGTTACCTAAAACACAAAATGCATGGTGAAGCAGTGCTTTGGGTTTGGTTTTTGGCTTTCAGTTTTTCTGGTATGTGGAAACCAGTGACAGGGCTGAGCACCACAGCCAGGGTGTCTTAGAGCGAATGGATAGCTCTCGGGGGACCCAGGACACACCAGCAGGGAGGTGCCTGAAGGAGGCACTCCAGTTGCAGAATCGTGAGGGACCAGGTTGTCATGGGCTCCATGGCCAGGCTTAACCCAGGTTCTCCGGGGGTCTGACAGCTGCCCCCTGCCCATCCCAGTAGCTAGGGAAGGAGGACAGCAGCCTGGGCAGAGAAGGCTGTCCCCGGGGCACTGCCATAGGAGCCACCCTGGCGTTTGTGACCTCACAGGAGGGGTGTGGGTGACCTTCCTTTGTGGTGCCTCGGTCCAGCCCAAGGCCAGAGCGCTCCCCCAGGACAGAGGCAAACGGCCCCTCCAGGAGGGAGCCGGGAGGTTAGGCAGCTCCATGTAGGGCCACATCTAGGGCGGGAGACCCACCATGAAGAAAGGCAAAAAGAAGAAGCCAGAGTCCAAACACCGGGGCTCCACCTCACGGCACTGTAGCTCTGAGTCCACCCCCCAACAGCAGCAGAGCTCTGAGTCCACCCCCCAGCAACCCAGCTCGGGGTCCACCCCCCAGCAGCCCAGCTTAGAGTCCACCCCACAGCAACTACTGAGCTCTGAGTCCATCCCACAGCAGCCCAACTCGAGGTCCACCCCACAGCAGCCCAGCTCGGGGTCCGTCCCACAGCAGCCCAGCTTGAAGTCCACCCCACAACAGCCCAGCTCGGGGTCCATCGCACGGAGGCCTGTGCCCCCGGCCCTCCCAGCTCCCCAAGTCAGCCAGTCGGCTCAGGGCCTGCTGGCTCAGAACACCGGCACAAAAGCATCCCCTGGATCCAAGAAAGCAGGTGAGCAGGTTTCTAGCTCCACAGTCCTAGCCTTCCTGCTGCTGGAGCCCCAGGGTCACCCCGAAAGCTGGTTCTTACTGGGCAGTGACGCATGGTTAACGTGTATTCTGGAACTGTGCTTGCGGAGCGTGAGGATTTTCGGCTTTGTTTTTACCGGGAGACCAGGACTCCCGGGGGCTGTCATTCCTCACCATCCTGAGGCTCACTGAAGAAGGCAGCCGCACATCCGTATTAACACCTAGCGTGGCTCTGTGGCATTTCTCGCTCATTAGAAATCAGGGTGATGTGTGTGGCTGCTCAAAAATAAAAACCAAGGATGCGTTGATAAAATTACATGGTTTAGGACCAGGGAGGTGGCCATTCTGCTCTACTCTGTCCTCATTAGGCTATCCTCGAATGCTATAAAAGATACCTACAATCTAATCCAAAGAAGAAAGGCCAGGTTGATGTGAGATGAGAGAAGCAGGGGGAGGCAAGAGCCACTTGGTGTTTGAGATTTGATAAGAGAAGTTGGAGGAAATCTGTCAGGGGGAAGATGTGAGTAGACTTTTTCCACATTGTCCTCAGATGTCTAAGGGCCCACGGAGAGAGTTGCCAGTAAAATACAGGACACCCAGTTAAATGTGAATTTCAGATAAACAACAAATAACTTTTTTAATTAAAAAAATTATTTCAGTGTTAGTGTGTCCCAAATATTGCAAGGGCATCCTGTGTTTTTATTTGCTAAATCTGGCAACCTTACCTATGGAAGACAGAGGGAGATTTCTCTCCTCAACATTAAAAAATCTCCAACAATCAGCTCTGTCTGACAAAGAAATGGCCGTCCAGGAAAAGTGGTCCCCCATCTTCTTGAGTAGCCACAGTCTGAATGAGCATTGGATTGTGTAGAAGAAATTCAAGTGGAGTTCAAGAGGTGGGCTGGTTAAAACTACTACTAATAATAATGGTAATAGCTAACTAACATCATCACCAAGCATTTACTGTGGACCCAGCATTCAGCTCAGCCGTCTATGTTAATTTTCTCATTTAACAACTCTATGAAGGACATACTACTATCACCATCTCCGTTTTATAGATGGGGAAACTGAGGCTCAAAGAAATCAAACAACTCACTCTCAAGCAGGCACTGGTAGCACTGAGGGGAACCTCAGTCTATTCTGACTCCACAATCCTTGCTCTTAACTGTAGCCCCAACCTTCTGATCCCAAGAGGTGTAGTGGTCTCCCCTGGAGGAAAACCACCCTTCTCTGAGCTTCTCCTGGATCTACCGTGAGCCAGTGTCCATGGCTCTGTGGTCCTGAGCAGGCCATACTCCCCAGGCCACAGCGTATCCCTTTGGGATAATGTGGACATAAAATAAACAAGAGGTGTGCGTATATCCAAGGTATCGCTGTGACATGATATTTCTGTGGGTAGGAATCAATCCGTTCTTAACATCTGAAAGCAGTTAAGATGTTAACCACTTATAATACATACAATTATACTAGGTATTGTATACATTATGATCATCCCCCACTGAGCTAAACATTTCTGGATTGTGGCCTTTAGAACTGATATCTGTAGAAAACAAAACTTGACATTCCCAAACCTTTTAATGAATGCATGTTACTCACCCCCATAGGGAGTTCTACTTATGGAGGTGGCAGAGCAGGAAATGGTGGTGGTTCTGCAATGGTTCTGATGGACTCCTCCTCTCCTGCCAAAGGAATGTTCTCCCTTTGAGCCAGAATGGGAAGGAATGTTGGCTATTAGTGATAGGGGCCTTGAAATAAAGGATGCCATTTCCTACAATCCGAATCTTCTGTATGCAGAAAATACTGTAGCTCAAGAAAATACAAGTCCTCCACTATAATCAAAAGATGGACATTGACAAGCTTTGGTGAGGCTGTGGAGAAATCGGAAGCTTCACACACCACTGCGGGGAGGCAAACGGTGCTGCTGCTGTGGGAAAGTCTGGCAGTTCCTTGAAGGGTTAACCACGAGGTTACCATAGGGCCCAGCAAGTCTGCTCCTGGGTAGATGCCCAAGAGAATTAAAAACATATGTCTACACAAAAACTTGTACACGAATGTTCACAGCAGCATTACTCAGGATAGCCCAAAAGCGGAGCCAACTCAATGTCTATCAGCTAGTGAGTGGATAAACAGCCATGCAATGAAATACTATTTGGCAATAAAAAGAGTCAATATGCTGATACATGCTACAACATGGACCGCCCTCAAAAACAGTAGGCTAAGTGAAAGAAGCCAGTCCCCAAAAGCCTACATGTTGTAGGATTCCATTTCTGAAATGCCCAGAATAAGCAAATCTATTGCCAGGACCTGGGAAGAGTGGGGTATAGGCAATGACTGCTAATGGGCACGGGGTTTCCTCGGTGGGAAATGAATGTATTCTGGAATTAGATAGTGATGATAGTTGCACGCCTTTGTGAATATACTAAAAACCACTGAACACATTAAAGGGGCGAATTTTATGGTATGGGAATTATATGTCCTCTTCAAAAAAAAATTCAACTAGAAACAGGAAAAAAGATAAATTCTTGCCTTTAGAATCTCTTCCTTCCCCAGTCCAGGAAAAGTATCCATCGCGGGCAAATCTAGGCAAGAAGTGTGCTGAGACTGCCCAGGCTGACCACTGGCTTCATGGACCTCTGGTTGGAAGAATCCACAGTTCCCTCAGGAAGCCAAGGTGGAAGTAGCTGCGAGGGGAGGCAATTATGTGCCAGAAATCATCTTAAACAGCAGAGGGCTATCTCTGAGTCCTGCTGGGATCCACTACACAGGACAGAAATGGAGATAAGTTAGGGAAAGTCTTCCAAGGACAGTAAACTGGAGCAGCAGTTGTCATCTGGATGAACCAGTGAACCCCACAAAAATGAGACGTGGCAGCTCCAAGTGCGGGAATCATGGTGCCACCTCCCTCGGCGGGGCAGTCATCGGCTGCCACCACTTCCTCCAAATTCCGCAGAGAGAGCACTGAACCGAGGGTTAGAAATCCTGAATTGAGGCCCACTTCTTGGATCGTAGGTCATGTCCTTCTGAGCCTCAGTTTCCTCATTGGTAAACTGAGAATAACAATATTCCGCCTCACAGGATTGTTCTCACAATTAAAGGAGACGCGTGAGATGTGAAGCTCGGAGCACCGTGAGGGGCAAAACCTCTGCATCATTGTTTTGATTGTGCCCAGGTCGCAGCAATCTGCGATACGCCAGTTTCCCACGCCCTTCGTTTCTCTCCGTGTCCTCCTGGCTGTCCCCGAGCCTCCTGGAGGCCGGGCAGGGGCGGAGGGGGTCCCTCACCTCTCTCTCTTTCTGTCCACCCAGGGCCTCCGACTCGGGCGGGCCCGCGCCCCTTCTGTTCCTGTACCACTTGCCCCGGCAGCTCTACCTGCTGGCGTCGCCTGGGCTTGTGCCACAGCCGCATCTTCGACGTCCTCCTGCCTCGGGTCTGGCTGACCGTGTCAGGGAGAGGATTCCCAAACCTCCTCACCTTCTACAGGTTCTGGAGCACGCGGAGGGCTGGGCCCGCGGGGCGTCCGGGTCCCAGGGCCAGGCTCTGCCCTGGATCCTTTTGCGGTCACGTGTAACTTCCTCTTGGGAATCCTAGGCCAAAAGGAAAGCCTCTCCCTCCGGTGGCCACAACCTAAGGTTTGGCACCAGCCCTTTCTGATCAGACCCATGGCACCCTCCTTTCTCAGAACACGGCCCCTCACAGCCCTTCATAAATGCCGCGTGACTCAGAGCTTTGTGACTAAATGTTCTGTTTGGGCGTCCTTCTCCTCCCGTGGCCCACACCCCAGCTGAGAGCTTTAGATTCTTTTCTTTTTAAAAAAACACACACATGTTTTTATTGATTTCAGAGAGAGGAAGGGAGAGGGAGAGAGAGAGAGAGATAGAAGCATCAATGATGAGAGAGTCCTTGATCGGCTGCCCTCTGCACACCTTCTCCTGGGGATCGAGCCCACAACCTGGGCATGTGCCCTGACCGGGAATCAAACCGTGACCTCCTGGTTCATAGGTCGATGCTCAACCACTGAGCCACACCAGCTGGGCGAGCTTTAGGTTCTTGACCTGCATCTGAATTTCCCCTGGAATTTAGCCACAAATACTGACTGTAGCTCACATGCCCCTTTGGTAATAGCAAGACCTCGACCCATGCAGAGGATCTCAGGCTATTTCTAATAGCCCCAACAGGGAACAATACCCCCAGGCCGGTCTGTCCATGGCAGGGCACCCCCTGCCCCCAGCATCATCTGAAGTTCTGCCCTTCTTTGCCTTTTCCTAGAAACCACCAGGTGGAACCTTTTCCTGTGATGCCAGGCTGTGTTCCAGGGCTGGGAGAAGGGCCTCTGCCCACCCCTGGCTCTGGGCCCACTACAGCTCTGCTTGTACTCAGGGTCTTACAAATGCCCAGGGAAGAGGTCTTCCAATTGGTTATGTCATACCCCTGACCCAGGAACAGAGCCCACCCATCCCCTACCTTCCTCCTGCCCCTCTTCCCAGCCCCTCCCCCTCTCCTGCCCATCCTTGAAAAGCACCATCTCTTAGACCTATGAAGAGAAACAAACAGATACCCAGGTGTGTTGGAAAAACATGCCTAGAGCTAAAAAATACTCTATAACCTGGTAAGTCCCTGTCAAGNCCTCTCCTGCCCATCCTTGAAAAGCACCATCTCTTAGACCTATGAAGAGAAACAAACAGATACCCAGGTGTGTTGGAAAAACATGCCTAGAGCTAAAAAACACTCTATAACCTGGTAAGTCCCTGTCAAGGAAGGGCCTGCCCCCCCACACACACACACACTCATTAACTGTCTTCCAACACACTCNACACACACACACACACACACACACACACACACTCATTAACTGTCTTCCAACACACTCAGTATTTCTGTCCACCTGGTGCCAAGTTGTGCCATGGATTCATATCACTTTAAAACCAACAAGTAGGAAAACCTAATCTGCACAGGATGCTAGGTACTAAGAGGGAAACCAGAACAGGGAACTTTATCCTTAAAAACTGTACAGCCTGCATGGTAAGCTAAGACATGCCCATTGAGAAACTAAGATGCGAGCCAGGTGATCTGTGTCCCATAGGAGATGTTCAAAGAACTTCAGGAAAAGAGATGCTCGCTCCTAAACTGGGGTCCAGGCAAACCATGTAGTGTCAATCATATCCGAGCTGAGTCTGAAAGGACCTTAAGATCCTCTATGGCTTATTTTAAAGGGAGAGCATTCTAGATGGAGGAAAAGGCAAGTGCAAGGCTCAGAATTAGGAGAGTGGAGGGGAAGGGGCAGGGATCCAGTCTGGCGGGGGTAAGACATATTCTGTGCCAATTTTAGCACCTGCTTCCATAATCTTTCCATTTCTCAGTGGAGCGGAATGCTGCCTCTCGGCTGCAAATACACATTCACGTTACATAAGAGCCGCTACTTGAATGGGATTTCTGTCGAAATGGTTATCGCATAGGTGAAAGCCTTCCTCACAATGGTTATCATGCTCATATGTCTTCCTTGCCTTCATGGTGGGTGTAATATGCGCTTCCTCGGATTCTTGGTCCCCAAATGGAGCTACCTGGTAGTACCTCCTCCACAGGGCCATTGTGAGGCTCGAGGAGACACGGGGTGTGAGGTGCTCAGCACAGGGCCTGGCACACGGGGGCTTTGACCAGCTTTGTGACCTGGCTCCCTGAGTGTCCCGGGGAGTTGGCATCCCAGGCCAGCCCATCCTCAGATCCTTGGGTCCTGTGGTAGGGTGTTATTGGCAGGGGTGGGGGGAGTTGTGTTCCCTTGAGATGAGGGTTGGTAACAGGGAGATGGGTATTCCTGCAATCCTGAGGGGACCCTCAATCTTCCCTTTCCCATAGACAGGCACTAGAGCCCAACTTTCTCCAACCTGTGGGCTTTCTACTTTGCTTCACAGACGATCTACCAGGAAACACTCCAGTCATCGTAATTCCCATGCTCCAAGCTCTCGGGACTGTGGCTGCAGCTCTGGGAGCCCTGGCAGCTGCCTACTTCGTCATTGAATCCTTGTGAACAAACCCCCAGGCTCATGGCCCAGCAGGTAAGTGGACCCTCTTGATGCCCACTGACCTTGGCAGAAGGAGCCCTTGGGCCCCCTGACTTGCCAGCCCTACGCACAGGGCTGATGGAGTGCCTGTCCCTTCTCTGGGGGGGGAGAGAGGTCTGCACTTTCTTCCTGCCTAGCAAGCTTTTTCCCTTTCCCTGTACCGCACCCCACAGCCTCTCGCCGGGAGCTTGAGGACTGAGTGAGCTCTCCTGGGCTCAGAGTGGTCTGACGTGGCTCTCTCAAGCAGCCCTGTGAATATTAGATTCATTATTGGGATTGTCAGGACAGAGTTCCCGCCCAGCTGGTGTGGCTCACAGCTGAGCGTCATCTCAAGCACCAAAGGTCACGGTTCCATTTTCCGCTCAGAGCACATGCCCAGGTTGCAGGCTCAGTCCCCAGCAGGGGGCATGCAGAGGCAGCTGATCCGTGATTCTCTCTCATCATTGATGTTTCTATCTCGTTCTCTCTCTCCCTTCCTCTCTCTATAAAAAATCAATGCAAACATATATATTTTTTTAAAAAAAGCAGAGTTCCCCAAACCCCCACTGACCTGGGATGGTTCTCCTAGTCACAGATACCAGACAGGAGGAAATTGAAGAGGTGAGGGCAGAGGTTCCCACCCTTCTTGGGGCCTTTCCTTGGAACTTGCTTCGTGCCTAGAAAGCTGTTTTCCTTTCCCAACATTTCAGGTCCTACCTGTCCTTCATGGCCTAGTCCTATTTCTTCCATAAAGCCTTCCTCCCACACTGCACCTCCAGTGATGTCTCCCACCTGTGTCATCACTGTCTCCAGCCCAGTCCATCCTGTACTGTGGATGATCGTTTTGTGTGTGTGTGTGTATGTGTGATCTATCTCCACAACTATATTGCAAGATCCTTGAGGGCAGGGAGCATGCCTCACATGGCATCTTCAGTCCTCCCTGTTTCAGGCTGGGCTCCCTAGAGGCAGAGCCTGAGACAGGGTTTCGAGTGCACAAGATTTATTGAGGAAAAAGGGAGTGAGGGAAGCAAGGGAGGTCGAGGGAAGGAGCAGAGCAAGGACAAGGTCAGCTGAAGTCCAGCCTCAGCCTGAACCCACAGGTCTCTGGAGCATGAATTACGCCATAGAACTGGTCTCACCTTGAAGCAAGAGGCTTGGCTTTTTGTGCCCCTCTGTCACTCAGCCACTAGCAATAGGGGTGGGGGTGGGGAGTGCACGTCTTTGTGGAAAAACGCTCCCATTTGGCTGAACACAGTCCCTGGGGAAAGGGGCATTTCTGAGTCCTTAGCAGCCAACATCCACAACTCACTGGAGCTGAACAAAGGGTGCACCAGTCCAGAAAGGGGATCTGGGCAGATGCCAAGAGCACCCACAGTTGTCCCCATTGTCAAGTCCACCCACAGGAAGTGCCTCATAAGTGATGATGGGGGGCAATAATGGCAGCCTTTCAACCACCCCCAGACCTCCACCAGCCACAGGAGTGGACAGGGAGTGGCCACAGTAGGGCACACGGTGTAGGGCACGCAGTGGGAGCAGATGAATATGTACCTCCCAGGGCGATGGCTGTGAGGATTAAATGAGGGATGTGCAGGCATGCGGAGCCTGGTCGCAAGGGTTCGGTGGACGGTGGCAAGTGGCGATGTGAGGACCGCACTTGAGGGCAAGCATTTTGTCCTAGAGTCTCCTTAAGGCAGAACCCACTGGTGCGAGTTCCGGCCTGGGGGCAGGCAGGCTTGGCCCATACCCTCCCTTCAGCATTCAGGATTTCTGGGGCCTGGGCAGGTTCCAGAACTCGTGAACTGGTCGGTTTCCATGTGCAGAGAGGCATTTTAGATCGATTTAATAAGTGGATTATGAGTTTGATTACTTGGTGCACATTTCAGAAAACCTAATTGAAAATGGTAGTAAGGAGATTATCTCACACAACAATAGGACAGTTGGGAAGTGTCAGGGCTGGTTAAGTCAACAGTGTCATCTGAGAGTTGGGGAGGGACTTTTCCAGCTTTGGGCTCTGACACCCTCAGCAGGGGGCAGGCTAGTCTGTTCTGTGGGCAGATGGCTGGAGAAGCTTCCAGAATCACAGCCTCATAGCCTTGCGGCCAGAAGCAGGAAAAAGACTGCCTCCTCCTTGTGTCTCTTCTTGAGCTAAGAAGCTCTTCCCAAGAGTCCCCTTGCCCAGCATAATTGCCATCTCATTGGAGTGACATGCCCCTGAATTGGGCCTCATGTCTCTTCTCAAGCAAATTAATAGCATAGGGGCTGAATTATCATGGTTGGATTAGATCCACTTAGATCCATCCTCACTCTCTTCCCTGGCCGGGGCTAGGGGTTGCTTCTGTCCAGGACAAGCCTGGGCAAAGGAGTGGAGCAGCCTAATAAAATGGGGCCCCTGCCAGGAAATAAGTGAGTGGACTGGGGGGAGCAGCCAGCAGCAGCCTCTGCAACAGGAAACAGCATTTTAGAAGGTGACATGGTAGCCAGTGTGAGATGGACCTCAGTGTGCAGACCTGTTGGCTGACAGGCTGGAGACCTGTTGGCTTAGCCACTGAAGGTGCCCCTGAGGGCGCGAGAGTCTGTATGCATGGGGGTGGGGGTGCATGGTGGGGGTGCACTGTGAGTTCTGTAGGCTCAGCTCTTAGATCCTCAGGGAGGGAAACAGGTAGTTTGGTGTCCTTCTCAGTCCAGACAGTGAAAAACCATCTGATGACAGTGGCCAAGTCTACTCTCTGGGAAAAGATAGTTCTGGAATTTTCTTTCCTAAAGCTTGGTGCACCTACCTCTCAGCATCCCACCAGCAAAGGATGAGGCACTAAAACAGCAAGAGGCTGCTTCCTCTCTTCTTTTGAGCACTGAACACAGTAAAACTCCCCACCAGAGCCAAGCTCTGGGGGAGCGAGGTTTCATCTTAGCTTCTGGGGGCCCTGGGGCGGGAGGAGGAACGGAAAGTGCCAGCACCTCTGAGTCAGGAGCAGGCCAGGCACTTTGCATAAGCTCATTATGGCCGAAGGGAAAAACGAAGTCTCGGGTGACTGTGTTTGGATGAAGGAAGAGTGCACACAGAAATGGAAGAAATGTGAATCCTAACTCATTTCTCTCCCCAGGAGGACCGTCGCTGCTGACCTCTTTCCATGAGGCGGTAGAGCTGGAAAGCCACCAGCACTCCGGAGCCATGAAGCCCCTCGTAAGCTAAGGGCTCAGTTCTTGCTTTCCTTACAGGTCCAGCTTCCATCAGGGATCTCTCTTGTCACCAAAATAGAACAGTAAAAACATAAAAGAATTTTGTTTCTTGACTGTTTTACCCAGAGACACGAAAGTTGGGCTTGGCAAAGGACTTGGTAGGGAGGTAAGGGGGGGTGGGGGAGCGGCTTGGTGACTTCCTGAGGTAAACCAGGGTGGGATCCTGCCTTCCTGTTGGGGGCCACAGACCCAAGTGGAGGCAACTTTCTCTGCACGCTCACAGAGCAAACCCTTTCAGATTTTCCCACTCTAAAAGCAGGAGTTACACAACTTAATTCAATACCTAGCATAACTAGTCAACCCTACTTCTGTCCCGTGGTGATCCTGGTTAGTGGGGGCAGGAGGAATGTGCTGGCTCCTCTCCAGGCCTGCACCTGAAGAGGGGCCCTGTGCCAGGAATGCTCAGTGTCTGGGACTCGGCTTCATTCAGCCTCACCTGTGATGGGCAGGGGCAGGGGCAGGGGCAGGGCGAGGCCAGGCCTGCAGTCTGTAGTCTGTCCGGTGACTTGTCCTGCTGACTTCACTGCACTCAGCCAGAGCCTGGATCCTGAGCAGCTAGGGCAGAAGTCTTAATTCAAGGTGATCCCAGGAAACACCAGTAAGGGAGAGGCATGTGAGACCGAAGAGGAAGATTCTTAATCCTGCTGGGGCAACTCTGGGAAACAGAACACACACCAGAGAGAAATTTCACCCGAGGGAGATGGTTTATACACCTGTCCTGTCAGTCATCAGGAGGGAGGTGGTTAATTCCCCTGCACCTTGGGCCACTCTAGAGAGGAAGTCCCCAGGCAAAGAAATGCAGATGGTGGATATTGGAGGTCCAGAACCCTAGAGCAAAGGCCAGGGGATGTGAGGGGGGAGGGGGCGTGTAAGTGGGGGCAACCCTGAACTCGAGGAAGGGAGTGCACAGAGCCAGGCCTTGTGACCTGCTGCGCCTCTGTGAGCTGATCAGGCCAGGACCAGAAGGACAATCCTTGGGGGGGCAGAAGCAGCCCTTGGGGGTGTGACTGGACAGGAGGCCAAGCCAGGTACGAAGATCCCAGAGCCCACTCACCACCTCCCAATCCCAAGATTTCCTTCCCTCACAGGCTCTGGTAGATTGGGAGAGGGTACCCCTGGAGTGAGTGACAGGAGGCCTTTCTGGGATGGCAGCCTCCCAAAGGAAAATGCTGACTTCCAAGTGGAGTGGGATCATGTTCTGGCTCCGTGTTGCAGGTAAGGGTGGACAGGCCCCGGGGCTGCTGCCTCTCATCAGCCTGGCTCCTCTCTGACCAAAGATACTCAGCTCCTTTTCCTGGCACATTAGTTAGGTCCCCTTTTATTGTCAGTGTTGGACAACCTACCCCAAACTGGTCTGAGCAAACGAGAATGTACTCACTCCTATGAAAGTCAAGCAAGAGTTCCAGATCAGTTGTGGCTTGTTCCAGGGGCGCAGACCATGACCCAGAACCATTTCTCTCTCTCTGCTTTTGCAGCCTTGGTTTCATGCTCAGGCCAGAAGGCTGGAGCAGCAACAGCCCCCAGCCTCTGAAGGTCAAGCCTGGCAGGGAAGGCAGCCTGTCTCCCAGCAGTGAAAGGCCTAGGATCAGGCTCTGAGTAGGTCCTGGGTCCACCCTGGAACCCATGATCTGCTCAGGGGAATACAGTGCTCTGATTGACCAAGCTTGTCCTGCACAGCCAGCTTTGGAATTGAGGCTCAGGTCCATGGAAGGTATGAGGGCCGAGAGCAGGGAAAAGACA